CTGAAAAAGACCCACATGTAAACAAAATACTGTATTGCATTTAAAGCAAATTTGCACCAACTTTCCTAACAAATGGAAATTTGCATGCACTTCCCATTAAGTACTTCTCTGTATGCAGAGAATACGCCATAATAATGTGGCTGAAACAAACAATCCAACCCACACATATATATGAGTTAGGTTATTTATAGCACTGTTCATGTATTATTTAACCACAATACAAATCAAACTGTCATTTTTAGGAACTCTACTTCAATAGTTTCACTTGAAAAGACTACACAATTACTATCCCTGCTGAATAAATAGACCAGGCTATTGCCTATACCACTGCCAATTTGATCTAATCCCCTCACCACCCCTTCCTCCCTCAAAACCACACATCCAGTTTATGTGGATGGCTTCTACTCTAAACTCCGAAGATTCTTCACGAAACGCTGGTTTAATATTCAGTCAATCATTACCTCCACTTCCTATTGTCATAGGGTGGAGAAACATCAGGCTGGAATAATTAAAGAGCAATACATTGTAGGAAAAAAAAAAAGATACTCAAAAAGACATCCATCCATTCACCTTATCCACGGCACAATGAATAACCAGCATAATTTTTATTTTATTTTATTTATATATACAAGAGTTCTTACATTCTTGCACAGCCACTAGCACGCGTAGCGTTTTGGGCAAGTCCTTAATCCTACGTTCCCTGGAATACGACCACGCCAAATCGTTTAACAACCAGGTACCCATTTTACTGTTGGGTAAACAGAGGCTACAGTTAAGGATTGACGCCCAGTAAATCCTTCCCAACCAGGATACAAACCTAGCCCAAAGCTCTCGTGAAACGTCAGGCGAGTGTCTTAACCACTACACCATGGGGACTGCTAAATCACTCATTACACTCCAGCAAGTCATACACAACACCATTCCACTACAACTACTATATAACAGTTGTAAAGTCCATCCAGATCACTTAGAAAAATTAATGTATTTAAAACAATACTGAATTTGAATACAAATAGGCAACCCCAATATAAAAAAAAAAAAGTCAATATTCTAATTACTGTATTTCACTGACCCAAATATACAGACCATTTCCTTTGGCAGCCTATTTTTCTCTAGTACCGTATATATGCAATATTCAAGTGAAGTAATGTAAAGAATGGAAACCAAATAACTAAGAAATTTTTCTAACTTATTGTTATTAGAACAGGAATGCCATATAACTTTTGGAACAAACACAAAGAGAGACCCAAGAAATCCACTAAGCTTAACATTTATACGAGTCCATTTCTGTAGTACGTACAGTACTGTAATTAGAAGAGAGAGGATTTTCACGACATTACATATGAGGCTGCAGTACTTACGAGTCCACCTGCTGGGAATCCCACAACTCTGCTGGTACCCACACACACTAACCTTCATGCCAGTTACAATATTATGCAATACTACTTATATACAGTGCAGCTCTTAGTTCAGCATCACAACTTGCAATAAACCCATTTGGTTAACCTTAAACTAAATTAATACACAACAAGCATTTATTTAGACAAGTCAAAAAAGGATCTAAGTACTAATTGGTCAGTATAACAAAGTTAAAATATTTTAATTTTGTTTAAGGATAACTATATATTGTATAGCAGAATGATCATGCAATCCTGCTGAGAATAGTAATGAATTAATTATATAACATTATATACAGATTAATCCAGACCGATACAAGAGAAAAATCAATCTGAGGTACACACAGCTTTCCCCCCTCCTTTGAGAGAGATCTCATGTACACTCTCTCCATTGTAATGCTCTTAAATGTCAGAAACTCCTGGAGAATTTGGTTGTTTAGTTTTTATGCATATCAAACAATTCCTTCTTTTTAGTCGATGTTCATTCAAACACGATTACTAATATTTTATCACCTCATGTCTCATCAAGTATTCGAGAAATTTAAAACGGCTCATATTTAGTTATCTTACAGATATGTATTTTATACATGATGTTAAACTTCAACTTGGTAACATTTATTAAATAAAAATGTGTCATCTTATACACACCAACCATTCTGGCAATGCTTTTATATTTCACCTACTTCCTGCATCAAAATTCTTGGACCGATTAATATCAATGATCTCTCCTAAAATACGTATGCAGTACTATATAAATATACAGTACAGTACTGTAGTTCTGTATATTAAACAAAAAATTAAAACTTCACTCGCTCTGAAAACCTGACATGTTATTAGTTACTCGTGACTAAACTTGATTTCTCCATATTGGAGAGGAAAAACGAATACTTGTTCGACTCTCATACCAGGAACGGCTAAGGGCCACAGGATTGAAAACACTACAAACCACACATGACATGACATGGCTGATCTTATTCAAACTTTTAAAATACTGAACAATTTTGAGGATACTGTACTGATCCAGACCACTTCTTTGAAAAATCAGATTAACACACACAAGGGGCAAAAGCTTCAAGCTCAACAAGCCACGGTGTTGGACAGAAAATAAGAGATGCTTTTTAACCCATAAGGTTATAAACCCATGGAACTGTCTACCCGCCAAACCATAAATGCCTAAACTTTGCTGAAAATCAAAATCTAGCTGGATAAAATCATCAGGGCAAATGGAGTGGGGGGGGGAGAAGGCACCTTTGACAAGACACCAACTTCCTGTTCTCGTTGAGACCACTAGGGAGATCGTGGCTCTGAGGTAAATTCAGGTATTCCTCACTCATTGGAAAAATAAAAAAAACTTATAAATTCACTTCAGGCTATAGGCCTATGCTAAACAAACTTCACTTCAAGACTCGTTTACTTGAGGACTATTCACTGGCACTTCTAACATGCAAATGATGCACTGTAGGACACATATGCCAGAAAACATGTACGCCAGCCAGAAAAATGATAGGATGGATTACAAGAACTTTCAAATTCAGGGATCTCATCACAATGGTTGTACTCTTCAAATCACTTGTACTGTCCTGGCTTGAGTACTGCTCAGTGCTCACTTCCCCCTTCAGAGCAGGAGAGATTGCTTAAATAGAGGGAATACAGAGAACATATACGGCATACAGGGAGTAAGGTGGTTGAGCGGACAGAACACTGCACGTGTGTTCCTGTGATCCCGGGTTCGATCCCGGGTGCCGGCGAGAAACGATGGGCAGAGTTTCTTTCACCCTGATGCCCCTGTTACCTAGCAGTAAATAGGTACCTGGGAGTTAGTCAGCTGTCACGGGCTGCTTCCTGGGGGTGGAGGCCTGGTCGAGGACCGGGCCACGGGGACACTAAGCCCCGAAATCATCTCAAGATACAGAGATGCGATAAAGCACCTAAATTATTGTGATCGTCTCAAAGCTCTCCAAATGTACTCACACTAAAAGAGACGAGAGAGATATCAAATAATATATACGTGGAAAATACTGGAGGGCCAGGTCCCAAACCTGCACAGTAAAATAACAACGTACTGGAGTGAACAATATGGAAGAAAATGCAGAACAGAACCTGTGAAGTACAGGGGTGCAATAGGCACAATCAGAGAACATTGTATAAACATCAGAGGTCCACAGTTGTTCAACATCCTCCCAGCGAGCATGAGAAATATTGCCAGAACAACCATGAACGTCTTCAAGAGAAAACTTTATATTAGTACTGTAGTTTTCTTCAAGAAGTTCCGGACCAGCCGGGCTGTGCACGTGGGTATGTGGGTCTGCGGGCCACTCCAAGCAACAGCCTGGTGGACCAAACTCTCATAAGTCAAGCCTGGCCCGAGGGAAATAGAAGAACTCCCAGAACCCCATCTAGCAGGTATGATCAGAATTTTTGTATTTTCCAAATAATATGACATCATAATTTTGCAAGTTTAGTTTAGCAAATTTTAATATTTAATAAAATTATTTTATACTATTAACACATTACCCAGTGTAAATTAAATATATAACAAATTATTCCTAGTGCCATGTAAATACACATACCAGAAAACCTTTAACAGATTATTTGCCCATGCCACATAAATGGGAAATAAACCTGTATTAATATTAAGACTATGTACCTGTGTCACATAACTGTTAAAAAAAAGTTATAGACCATCCCACCATGCTACATAAATAGCAAGTAGAATATGGTTCCCCCATGCTTTGTCATCTGCATCTAAAAATGAACCAAGGCACTGGTATTGTTAGTCAAAACAAACCCACAAAAACGGCAGAAACTTAACAAATAAAGTACTCAAATAACCTGCTGCTATATGATAGGAATCTTAAATACAGAGGAACCTCGGGTGATGAGCAGCCCCATCTACGAGCATTTCAGGTAATGAGCGAGCCACTCGCAGAAAATCTCTCTCGATTGACGAGTTTCCTCTCGGTTAATGAGAAAACCACGTGGTGTTTCTCTAGAGTTCCCGCAAATTCTCAGACGCCTCCGATGACAGGTTTGTTGTTTTATCATGCAGGACAAGCATCCCTCTGCATTTATTTGTGTTTTTCTTTGTTGTTTTTTTGTGGTTTTGTAACTACAGTTTGTAACCCACAATGTCACCAAAGCTGCTGCTTACTAATAGTGTTGTCAAGAGGAAAAATAGACAATTACAGTAGATTTCAAGAAGAAAATTATAGCAAAGCACGAGAAAGGGTGTTCTCTCATGATCAGAGAACACCAGTGGAACTCTCCTCTCGATTAGGAGAGGAGGAGGAGGTAAGGGAGTATGCCTCCTCTTCCAGTGAGATCAGGAAAAAGGTGAACGCATTCTTGGAAAAGCATCACCCTGATAAAGCAGTGACTGCACAGTGTGTGAACTCATTTAATGACAATTTCCTGTCTCATTTAAGGGACATCCTAAAATGAAGACAAAGCAAGTGCCAATAGATCAGCCCGTCCTCCAAAAATGGGGTGGTAAATGTAAGAAGACAAATAAGTGCAATTATGTACTATTCATAGCAGTTAGGACTTGTACTTATTTTCACTTAGTATTAAATCGTACTGTCAAATATATTGTGAATATTTGAG